CGCCCCCCCACCATGATAGCGCTGGCTGGCCATCTGCCAAGGCTTGGCCTCGACTGCACATCCTAGCGCCGGCTCTAAGTGTCGGTCGGTGTCTCCGTCCAACAGATCAAAGGCCTTGCTGTACACGGGGTCAATCCAGAGCCAGGGTTCAGGGGCTCCCCAGCCGAGGTCCAGCAGGTTGGCGACGACGGCCCCCATTGGGCCCTTGATGCTTCCCCACCTGGACTTGGCCTGACTCAATTCACGCCACATCTTTTTCCAGGCGAGGCTCAGCAGAGCACGGGCGTCAGCAACGATCGCAGGTCGCATGTCCACCCACGTCTGAGAAATCTGCCTTCTGCCAAAAACTAGCGGGTCCTGCTTGGACGACAGAGCCAGACGAATGGCAACCGTGGCACAGCCACTCTCTCGTCGCACCCCCGCGAACCCAGACACCTGGGAACGGAGCTTGTGGGGGGTCGTTGGTGCCAGGCCCACCCCTTCAAAATCCCAAGTGGCCTGTGGGGGAAAACCTGCGTTGCCAACTTTGCGGCCTGCGGGCTAGCTTTAGCGACTTGTGCAATCATGCGACCCCTACCTCTAGCAGCCGAGAGTCTCTTCTTCATAGTACCGACCGAACGACGACACGACGACCCATCAGCCCCTAGATCTTTGACTCGCTGCGAGGTCTGGAGCTTGATTCCGCTGGCCCCGAGGGCCTCTGCAACTTTCTCTCCGAACTCTGGCGGATTAGCTACGATGGTGCTTTTACCAGAAACAACTAGGACACTGGCGGTACATTTCGCGACGAGCGCAGAGGCCACCTGCACAGATCGCCCCTGGACAAGGCGGCCGTGCCCGAACGCACGTTGGGGCAGATCGCCTACCCAGGCCCCCAACTGCAGCGGCTTAAATTTAGAGCGCATATCGCGTAGAATTTCCGACCGGGACACGCGAGAAATATCAACTGACTGGCTGCAGCCTGCGAGCAGCCCGATGAAGGGAACGATGATCTAACTCGGCCCCCCTTCGGCTCGCAGCCGCCGAGGACCGAAGTGAATCTGCATGGCCAAAAAGAGAGGGCCCATGGGGTGCTCAGCGATTTCGACAAGCCTGAAGATTTCTCCACACTGCAGGCGGTCGTAAAACTTCCCCACGCCCCGGAGAATCTCCAGCCACGATGACCACATCTAAACGGAGTTGCCGCAAGAGGGGCGCCCTACGTGGGGAACTCCCTCGCATCGCCCGATCCCAGGACTCGACCCCCTCCCCGGCCCACTTGGCGACTTTGCCTCAGGTCCTACACAGAGCCTGGGTCAACGTGATCGGGCGGTCAGCTGTTTCCGACTTGCATATAGTTTAGCTGGACTACGTTGTCCTCCACGTGCACAGACCATTCTAAACATTGCTCTGCACCCTGCAGGACCTGCCAACAGCTGCCGCTGGCCTCCTGGGGCCTGGGACCACCACCTGGGGTTCTGACAATCGAGACCCATGCCTACCGCGTGCCTAAAGGCCCTGAGCCCCCCCCCCGAGCTTTCCACGGGCGAGGGGAGCGGCCTCTGCGAAATCTGCCCGCGCAAGCTGCCTGAACTCGGGCCGCCAGGGCTCCTCCTGAGGCATCCCTCTAGGGCGTCCCTCGGGGTCCTTCGGGCACCAGAACCGAGCCCGATACTCAGCTTTCGCTTCAACAATCTTAAGCGGTTCTCTGATAATCCTATGGCAACTGTCATACTCTTGGGCCAGCCCGGGATCACCTTTGCCCCGCGACTTGGTCCATCCACGCAGGGCCCCCGCCCCAACTCGCACACCCGAAATGACCCAGCCCTTAAAACCTTGGGAATGGCCTCGGCTTTGCTTACGCTCAATCCCCACCACCCCCACCACCACCACCACCACCACCACCACCACCACGACCACCCCATCCAGCTCCGCCCCGAGCCCCTCAGGAGCGGCAGCAGTCGCAGCAGGCGGCGAGACAAGTGTAAGAATCTGTTTGAGCACAGCTTGGCTGCGCTCACCCTGCAGGGTGCTCTCGACGCCCTGGCATCGGGGAGCTTGCTGCTTGAGCGCGCGCCCCCAGGCTCGGCCCACCAGGAAGGCCCTCTTCTCCCTGCCCAAGACTCCCCGCACTTCTTTGAAGCGAACCTCTAGAGCCATCCACCTCGCAAAGTCCTCGGAGCCCTTTCATCCACCCTGGCGGCGGTGGCTCCACAGTGTTCACTATCTTCGCCTCGGTGGGGGGGCCGCGACGGGCGGCGGCCTTCTGGTAGTCTATCGCGATATCCCTCTGAACCAGCAGGTGTTCAGCCGCCAGCGCGGACTCCACGTGCGCCGCCGAGACGTCACTTCTATCCCTGGGCAAGTGCTGGTACCTGTCATCCTCCAGGGCCTCGCGCTTCATCTGCTGGACAGCCTCTACGTGCTCATCCCACGGCCTGCCAGAACCCCGCAAGCCCACCGTACTGCTCACGGGCGCGAGCGGGGTCCTGCACTGGCACCTGAACGCTTGCTTGTCGAGCTTCGCAATGATGCCGAGGCCGCCCAGGGCCCTTCCAGGTCCCATTCAAGCTTGAGTGCACCCTGCAGGTCCCCAGAAATCATCATGCAGCCAATGGGCCGCCCACCTGAAGGGCGGTCACCTGGGTAGCCCACTCCCATCGCAGGTAGGTGCCCCAGCCAGCGGGGGCCGATCTCACCCAGCGTCATGTTCCAACCCCCCATAAGAACAAATGGCCTGTCCATCGCGGCGACCAGGCTATCTATCTCACCCATCATCACCAGGTTGCAGTCGGCGAGGCCCACGCCCACGACAAAGTACGCTGCCACGAACAGGGTCTCTATGCCCCCCATCGAAGCGCACAACCTGGCCTGTCCACTGTGTGTGTTTTCCCCACATGTTCGGGTCGCTGGTGGAGTCTTTCGTGGCTGCCCGTGATCTGCCAACACTGCAGTCCAACTCGCGCTTGCAGCAATACTCCACCGCGCCCCTGCTTACAACCATTGATCGTCGGGGGTGTTGGGGCGGAGGCCCCGCCCCAGCCATGCTTCTTGAGCTTCTTCGAGCCTGGGTTAAACGACCCCCAGACAGATGGCGCCCCACGAAACCGAAAATGCTGAGGCCCCTCTTGCTGGCAGCCCTGTCCTCTTCAACCTCTCTGATGAGATCCCATCCTTTCAGGCCTAGACTGGTTCTGTTGGCGAAGTAGAACTCGAACTGATCCGACTTCGCCTTGCCCCGCGGGGGCACCTCCTCTCCCTGCCCTTCACCTCCTGCTCTCGCCCGAGTGGCCCCTGGCTGCTCGTGCGACGGAGAGCAGGAGGAGGGCGAGTACAGAGGGGCCCCCCCAGGGGAGATGACCCACTCCAAGTCCCCTGGCGGCCTCGCCTCACCCGTTTCGGCGCCTCCCGAAGGGCTGGGCGGGACCAGAGGGGCCGCCCGGGGAAGCCAGCAGCCGCCCGGCGCCTCGCACGCCTCCAGCACCTCGATCAGGTCCAGCATGACCTGTGCCCTGCTACCCTCGCTTCTGGCGCTTGAGCTTGAGGCCTGCCAGGCTGTCCATGAAGGTTCGCTTCTCTCCTGCCGAGGCTCCCCAGAGCTGACCAATCTCCTCCAA